TTCCATTTCAAAGGGATGTGAGGCGGTGCACTTGCGGAGAGCTTGGAATGGGATGCAATTCACACAACAACATCTTAATACCCCAATCACTTGTGGCGACGAAAGTAGGTCCGTTCATCGAGGGTGGTCCGAGGCGAAAAAAGCAGGTTTACGAGCATGGCGTGCCCTGAAATGTACAGGTTTGCAGCATGTGGTAGATTTTTGAGTACTTTGCCATAATGCACCTTTATATGAAAGCAAAACAAAAATGCACGACGGCCTTCGCAGCAGACATGGCGGTAGCTGGAACGGCAAAGTTGATAGGCCGATGGCTGGCTGCGTCTCCACGGATATCCAGAGAATCTGAAAAATAGCGTGACCCACGCTTTGACACGTGCATGAAGTGGATTTAAGAGAAAATGCTGTTAGTTCGTATTACTTCGGGTGGCGAGTTGGGAGCTCACATGTTTGAAATATTTGGCCACTAGTATATCAAGAGGTAGTGGTTGAACGTTATAATAAAACTTTGGTCTATTTGGAAACCCGGTGTTTCGAGCCTGTCCTCAGGCTAAAAATGGAATCATAAGTCGTTCAGCAGCACCCCGATAATTTCAGTCGCAACACACCGCACAAAATGTGTGTGTTGTTTCTATTCCGCTACACCCTTTTTTAGGCGCAGCCATGTGGAAGATACACCACCAAACTGTATCTTAAATCGTCACGTCGACGATATGAGGAGTGTCGGGTCACTGATGACTACCGCTGCCGCTGATCGTGTTTTGCTTCGCTGGCAGTCAAATGCCACCGCAGTCACAATTGTTTGGCATATACACTTATCACTGCTGACGGGAACATGGGTTAAGTTTTAACATAAATGTTACCTGCAACATCGGCCACCCTGTGCTTTTAGGAGCTGCCAACTATTGCAGCCTGTTGTGATTGTTGTTGATCCTAATCCAGGTGAAATTCATTTAAAAAGCTTTAAAAGCCTGCAAAGTGGCTTAACGTATCAAGGAGTTCACATTACAAAGGCATTGGGTATTTACAAAAATACATTAGGTGCAGCATGAGCATGGTACCAATAATGATGCGTCTAGGTACGTAGCGTACCATTAGTTCATAACATTTGGTATATTTCTTTGACACAGTATTGTCTCTTTACTGACATGATTCGATGGGCGTGGGGCGGGAGATGGGGTATCAAGTCAGTTTTAGGTGAGCCCAAGCCCTAAACTTATATAAAATCACACCCTTTGTGGTCGCAATCCAGTTCAGCGATCCTCTGCAAACAATGTTTGGTCACTTACCGTGCTCATTCGATGGTGACGGAGTTTTCTTCGGGTTTTATTGCACCACGCGTCGTGAGTTCACCATACCTGTTTGTATACTGCTTTCCTAACTGCCTGCCAGTCGTGCTCTGGGTGGCGTTTGTTGCCGCGGTCTGGGGTCCCGGTGTTCGATACACTATCTGTACCGCTTATCACTACTGTCGTGCGGCACAGCCTATAGTGACAAAGCCCCACCGGGTTATCCGGACGGCAGCGACGTCGTAGTGCTGAAAAGAACACCTACTGAGCTGCTGTCAGAGGCGGTAAACGAAACCACTGCTTATACAGCACCTAGATCTTCTGCTGCCTAACCATTCTGTTGAGTTTGTTGTTGGGTGCCAGGGCCTGGGGAACTTCATATATCCGTTATTTGTGCCGTCCAAAGCAGATGTAACACGCCACAGCTTTGCCACAGAGATGTCCCCGCTGTATTTCCGCTGATGCAGTTTGAACAGAAGCTACTTTAGCGCCAGCAAAACTCCTCTACAGAGCACACGGAATTCGTTGCGCCTGCGCCTGCCCTTTCGGTAAAAGCCGGCATGACCCCGACGTGATTTGAACACGCAACCTTCTGATCTGGAGTCAGACGCGCTACCGTTGCGCCACGGGGCCTCGGATGTCTTCGACTGACAGCCTGGCAGCCTGGCATTGACAGCCCTTCGATCTGGTGGCCTGCGCTTCTGCTTGCACCGAAGTCACTTGTTACACATGCTCTCGCCGATGCGCCATATGGTGGACACCAGGTGTGTCACTCTCCAAAATCAGTTTCGGGAGGTAAGCTGATTAAGTTGAACTAAGCCTCCTCCAAATCACTTTTCCCTTTAAGTGCGTCCTTTACGATAGAAACTATTGTGTGCTTACATTTTGTAGTGCTCCTATTGTTTTCCGTTTTCACCGTGCAGGAAGGACTTCCCATTTCAAGGCGATGAGAAGCTCCTTTTTTGCGAAGAGGTTGGTTAGAATGAGATGCAATTGGCAGAAAAAAGAAACATTGGTGATCAAAGAAAGCTGGTGTCGTTCATCGAAGGTTACCGGAGGCGCAAAAAGACAGTTTTACCTGGCATGCCGCGGCCTGACACGTGCGGACGAGAAAAGCCCGTTCCGCAGACCCAGAAGGCCCTTTTCTGAGTGCACTGCCTGCACTACACGACCTGTTCAACACACATACTGGATGGACAAAGTTGATGGACTGGTGATCAAAGAAATCTCCGAAGGGGACGTCTTAAACCTAGCGTGACCTATGCTCTGACACGTGTTTGAGGCTAACAAGCAAGACAGGTCTGGAGTCTTGGTGCTTCGGATGATGAGTTGGTAGTTATCATGAACAAAATGATTGACCGTCAATCTACCGAGGGGTAGTGGTTGGATGCTTTTTTACTTTGGTGGTATTTGAAAACCGGACGTTTTGAAGCTCCGCTCAGGCCGAGGTGTGTTTGCAAGTCGATCAACAGCACCTGCATATTTTTTTTAGTCGGAACACATCGCACATGTGTTGATTCGATTCTTTGACGCCCTTCTTGTACAACTAGGTGGAAGAAATATCGCCGCCCTGTACTTTAACACGCGCCTGGGTGGCCGGCTGAATACCCTCCGTTCGGGTGTGGGCCAGTTTGCACCCACCTCCGAGATCTAGGAAACTAAGATAGCTAGAGGCTTTAATTTCACAGACGCGTAAGCCTGTATGTGAGCTCACCTATGGCAGCATGGCAAGTTCCTTAGTCATAAAATTGGTGTCAGATAAAGGTAAACAAGGTCAAGCTCCAGATCAGTCTCCCATGTGCCCCCAGGCTTCACGCAACCGCTGTGAACCTATAGACCCGTTCGAGGCAAAAGGTCAATGGTGTCAATTTAAGGTGATTGATCTTATTTGACATTTCAAAGATCAAAGTGACCAAAAACTACGAATTTGCTGCAAAAAGGCGTCAGGGATTACGCCCTGCGATATTTTCATAAAAACAAAATGCTGGCCCGGGTTGTTTTAGTTCATTGACCTAATCTGAACTTCAAAAGCCCGCGGAGCATGTCTGCTCCGGTCCCTGGCATTCATAATTTTGAAATGAGCACAGAAAGTTCCCATAGCCAAGCTCCCGAATAAAAATCTGGAGTCAGACGCGCTATCGTTGCGCCACTGGGTCCCATGGGGTGCAGAAAAAACCGGCTAACTGGTGCCCTGTGCTTTTGTTTGCACGACAGCCATACACGTACGTGGTACATGGACAGAAGTGCGCCGTGCGCGGTTGCGGGCCATGCACCACATACTTATATGCCGTATGCCCGCGTACGAAGCCTGTGTGCGTAGGTGCACCATGTTGGGGAGCGCAGCACACGTGTTTTTTCATGCGCTCATTCGCAGATACACGTCTTTACTTACTGCCCTCGTAAACTGGGTACGGAACGTTCGCCAACAGACCAGGTGCACCGAATGGGTCGAAATCGCTGCCTATGCGCAACGCAACTAGAAAACCGCTGATGGGCGAGCAAACGTCCTTCCTTTCTGCTGGCTGCCCACCATACAACGTTAAGCTGATCTGACCTGCTCACCCGCCACCTGCGTCCTTCCGAAGTGACACAGCCGCCCAGGTTTCACGTGTGCTGTTGGTGCCGGCGGATGACCTCGGGTTGTGTGCCGCGCGGCCGCTGGAAGCAGTGATGTCATGGAGCGCGTGACGGGCGGGTGACACGGACGGCCGGCTGCCGACGGGAGTCTGCCGTCTGTCAGTCCTGGACCACCGGGGCCACGTAACCAGTGCAATAGCGATTCACATTTAACCTAGACTTTGCAAGGTGTAGATCTGCAAGATCTAGATGTACCAGAACGAGCTCTGTCGCCTGCTGCTGGCCGCCTTACTTACAGTTGACGTCTGTGGTACAACAGGCCTAGCATGCCGTGTATGATTGTTAGACTGACGCCGTCTGTTTGGCATGAGACCTTGTGACACAACTCCACGGATGACCTAACCCTCCAATTCTTAGAAACCGATCGCTCACCATCAGCACAGTAGGTTCTTTCCGGCCGTCATACGTTATGTTACCATACCCTGGCCTGGAAGCCGCGCAACACCCGCGACCTCTCCCGACCCGCAGATGAGTCAGAGCTGCGCCGCGACCTCGGGTGCCCCTTACAGTGAGCCTGCCGCGTGCGGTGATCTCCCACAGTCTTGTGACTCATCACGCCGCGTCCTCACACAATTACGTGACGTGCTGCGCCGTAACGCTGTGCGTAACGTTATGCGTAGCGTTGTGCCGTGCCGTGCGCAAGCCGCAGGTGGTTTGAGGGTGCGGCGGACCGCGCCGTGTCTGGAGAGGACAGCTTGTGCTCCGGCGGGCAGCTCCATAACATGGCACGACAGCGCGCCGTGCCGCACGGCGCCGCAATCGGGCTGACTGGCGCACTGTGCCGCAACGTCAGGTGGTGTCACGCGTGATGCCCTGACCAACGGCGGCGGCGCGACGCACCGTGCCGTTACTCCGTAACAGTATGCAGTGTGGTGCATGCACCTTGTATTTGTCCTGGGAGCGCCCTGGGTCTGTCCTGGGAGCGCCCTGGGTCTGTCCTGGGAGCGCCCGGGGTCTGTCCTGGGAGCGCCCTGGGTCTGTCCTGGGAGCGCCCTGGGTCTGTCCTGGGAGCGCCCTGAGCCTGTCCTGGGAGCGCTCCAGGCCGGCTTGTCACGTGACCCCGCGCCGCGCCGTCAGATGCTGATTCGCGCTCTGGAGGAGCTCAAGGAGTGCAAGGTCGACCGGGCAACGCTGGACGAGCTGATCGAGACCAAGGCTGACCGGTCCAGCGTCGAGAAGAAGGTCTCCAGCTGGCAGTTCGAGCAGGCGTGCCAGGAGCTCAGCGAAGGCCTCGGCTCCATGCTGGAGAAGATGGGCTCACAGGTACGCTCTGCACACCGGCGATGCCCCCCGCCTCCCTCGCTACCCCCCGCAGGGTCTGTTACCGTTTGGTACTCATTTTCGTGGTACTGCATCATGGGAACCATTAATCCATACCCGGCAAAGATAACTGATGCCCCATGTGATCATACGACTGAGAAGAGATAATGGTGTCAAGGATAGAACAATTGGTCGTATAATCGTCCTTACCTGGTGTTTTAGTCTTCACACACCGTCTCGGCCAGCTATCTCTCCGGTCGTCGCCAGGTGTCGCTGCGTCCTACGAAAGGCTGGATGATGTTTGGCCTTCAGCCATGTAAGCGTCACAGCCCAAATGCTGTTCTTGGAATTGTTTGGATTAGAACCGGGGTGTTCTGATCGCGAGCCCAGTGCTGCACCAAGTGAGGATTTTATCCGGGGTGTTCTGGTTACGAGCCCAGTGCTTTTCCAACTGAGGTAGCCGGGAAGCGCGACAGACGAGAACGATACTCAGGACAAATATCATTTCTGTGAGGTCATGTGACCGTATGATCGCCCCTTGGACCATATGATCTGATATGCAACAACTTACTGGTCTTTAAGCTGTACTCCTTGATCTGCCAAAATCCACCTTGCCACACCCACCCACTTTCCCCGAACCCTTCACCATCGCCACGCCACCCCATACCCTGTCCTGTTGCCCCCTGACCCCCACCGCTGACCTTCCACCCGGTGTAACCCTCCACCCGGTGTATCCTTCCACCCGGTGTAACCCTCCACCCGGTGTATCCTTCCACCCGGTGTAACCCTCCACCCGGTGTATCTTTCCACCCGGTGTAACCCTCCACCCGGGGTGTCCTTCCACCCGGTGTAACCCTCCACCCGGGGCATCCTTCCACCCGGTGTAACCCTCCACCCGGGGCGTCCTTCCACCCGGTGTAACCCTCCACCTGGGCGTCCTTCCACCCGGTGTAACCCTCCAGCCGGGGCATGCTTCCACCCGGTGTAACCCTCCACCTGGGCGTCCTTCCACCCGGTGTAACCCTCCAGCCGGGGCATGCTTCCACCCGGTGTAACCTCCCACCTGGGCGTCCTCCACCCGGTGTTAACCCTCCACCCGGGCGGGCGTTCCACCCGGGTAACCCTCCACCGGGCGTTCCACCGGTGTAACCCTCCACCGGTGTATCCTTCCACCCGGTGTAACCCTCCACCCGAACCTCCACCCGGGGGTCCTTCCACCCGGTGTAACCTCCAGCCGGGCGTCCTTCCACCCGGTGTAACCTCCACCGGGGCATCTTCCACCGGTGTAACCCTCCAGCCGGGGCATCCTTCCACCCGGTGTAACCCTCCAGCCGGGGCGTCCTTCCACCCGGTGTAACCCTCCAGCCGGGGCATCCTTCCACCCGGTGTAACCCTCCAGCCGGGGCATCCTTCCACCCGTGTAACCTCCAGCGGGGCGTCCTTCCACCCGGTGTAACCCTCCACCCGGGGCGCTCCTCCACCCGGCGCCAGGAGACCGATTGGATCCGCAGCGTGGACGAGATCCACGCGACCTGCACAAAAGCTGGACCGCGTGGAGCTTGGCGCCAGCTGCGCCGCTACATCAACTCCACGGCTCAAGGAACATCATGGCCAAGCCTGAACCGGCTGATCGCGCCGAGGACGAGATCACGAAGCGGCGCACGCGCCGCAAGATCATCGGTCAGTGGCGCCGGCAGCCAGAGGGGGCCTCGGTGGACCAACCGGGGAGGGCAGGCGGTTTGGGCTGCACGTACCAGGCAGGTCTCTTTTGTCTTTTCAGCTGGCCGTGTAGCCACAATTAATTATCCGGATTGAGCTAGTTCCGTGTGTGGCGATAGCATCTCATGACAGGCGTGCACGTCATATGTGCTTCCGCGCCGGTGGAAAGCTCTCCTCAAACCTCAAAATCGGATAGACATGACGATGGCGAATGTGACTTTCGACAGGTCAGACAGGCTCGCGACCACGACCCGGTTACCGCAACACCTCGGAATGTCGCGCCATACCAAAACCACGCGCAAAAGCTCTTACAAACACCTGTCACCTGGATATTACAAATGCCGCCTAGGTGGACAGGGACGGATATGACTTGTAATGTGTGATGTCGGGTTAAAGGGGTCAGGGCTATTTGCCACTGGCCCGTCCAAGTATATCACGAACCAAATAGTGCTTACCGCGTGCCGACATAGTCACTCCTTGTATTATGTAAGGTCCGTTGGACGCACATGCGTGGGCTACACTGTCCGCAGTCCGGCCTGACAACAGAAAAGCCACCTCCATGGTGGAAAACCGGACTGACCCCGACGTGATTTGAACACGCAACCTTCTGATCTGGAGTCAGACGCGCTACCGTTGCGCCACGGAGTCTCGGTTGGATAGGGGTTGACGGCTTTCTGCTAGTCTGTGCTTTTGTTTGCAAGGTTATCATGCACGCATATGGCATATGGACACAAGTTTGCGGTACGTGGATGTGAACACGCGTCATACCCGTATCCCACAGCTGTGTGCGCAGGTGTGGCGTGATGGGGTGCACGACGTCCTTTGTTTTGTCGAGTGTTCATCCACATTGTTACCACCTGAATCTTTTCGATTCGTTCCACATTTAGACGAATTCAATTGGGCTAATTGACCATTGGACGGTTTGTCTCATTGTCCTTCGTCGTACTCACAGTTTAGTAAATTGACATTTGGTCAATGACCATTCGGTAGTTTTCCAGTCTAATGGTCATTCTCCTAGATCCCGTCTCGGCACATTGCCTATTCACGTTTCGGCTAAATAGCATTTCAACTTATTTGCATTTCAAAACATTGGATGTCTTTAAACGCACGTGTCGTCTATAAGCTTTACGCCTGAAAGAACGTTCATTTTTTAACGTGACCGCAAAAGCATTCGAGCTATTTACATTTGTGGAAATATAATTTGGCCGGACGTCATTCGCCAATTTGCCCGGCAACCACCTACTCATAGCTCAGCCACAGCCGCTGTAGGCTGGTTCTCGGCCTGCATGATCTGCTCATGCGCTGCTGGCCCTGTGCCGACTCCTCAGTCATCACTACTGCTGATTTGACGACGGGGTAGACCATGTTGTCAATTTCCTTGACCTTTGCTGTGTCTGCTGCTGACGGGCCGCACCATACACCCCAGACGTCGCTAGTGACTGGATGCCACATTCCCCGGCAGTCACAGAGGTTATGATTATTATTGCGAAACTTGGCGAAATTCAGCGGGTGGCTATTGTAACGCCGCGTACAAACGTATTCTAACAGCAGCAAAAACAGCATAGATCAACATAGAATACGCAACACATGCAAATCAGACGTAACGCCAGCGATAGACATATGGTGCAAAGGCGTAGGAACGTTTCATAAAGTGGGGGCCAAACTCTGGGCGTACCTCAGGAACTTTGTCTGGAAAACAAGCCCGACGACCGGAGGGAGGGGGGGGGGGGGGGGGTAGCGATGTGGAGGTTATCGCTCTTTATTGTGATGACTGCTATTCTAGATATGCATCTAGAGCTGTTTCTCACTGGTGCACACTCTTGCCTATCCGACTCATCTATGTCATTCGAGAAACAAGGCTTTCCAGCTTTTCAAGGTAATTCGTCCACTTCAACGTTGTCTGTCCTGGAGGGCCGATATTTCACGAGCGGGTAGGTATTTTGGGTCATTCAGGAGGCGTCTTGTCTCCACAGCGTAGATGCCGAAATATGGCCTGAACATGCTTTTCAAGAGATAAGACATGTCGTGGCATTTTAGGCGGAAACCAGTTCGGATGCTTGAAACTGCCAAAAACCATGTGACAAAAGCCATGGAACTGGCGATTCTTCTTGGAAAACCAAGCCACCGAATGAAGGCCCTTCTGTCATATATTCCTTGTCTGAGCGCTGCTCCCGTCCGCCGACGGTGGCCACTGTCCTGGCACGGCTGTCTCCGAATGACTGACCGCGAACTGATGGTATGGCTGCTTTGTTGCACATTTCTGGATCAGCATTGGTACTAATTGTGATGTTAAACATGTGTTGGACACCTGCAACAGTACCTTTTCCGGATTTTCTTCCCTAACACCACCCCAGAAAAATGCCGCCGGGAAGCTGTCTACTTTAGGTATCAATCGGCCCAGCGGGCATGTGTTGCCCATCATTCAACGTAGATGACTTGATCTGTTTTTGTGTGTAGGCAGGGGGTAGCCAGAGCCCTGCTAAGAGAAACACAGGGTTGACAAAACCCCCCTTTATGGCGATCCCCACAAAAAGATATCCCCGGATATAGTTTGCTTGTTAACAGTGGATACCGTTTTCTTCGTTTCATAGCTATTTTCACGTTGTAACCAGAACAGAAACCAGCAGCTACCGTGAAATCAATTCTGTTTACATTTTCATCACGCGCCCAGGTGGCCGGCTGGATACCCTTCGCTCGGGTGGGGGTTAATTTGACCCCCTGAGATCTCGGGACAGAAGAGAGCTAGAGACGCCAAATTCGCAGGGTGTGTTGACCTATGCGTGAACTCACTTAGGTCAAAGTTTCAGGTTCCCAGGTCATGACTTTCGGGTCAAATATAGTCAAACAAGGTGTAATTCCAGGTTGGTCTCTTAAGTGCACCCAGAACCTAGATAACTGTTGGTAAGCAAAAGGTCACATGTTCATTTAAGTTCAGTAACTTTGTTTGACCTTTTGAATGTCATGGTGACCAGTCATACAAGACTGCTCCGAGTTTTGCATTTGAATAAGCGACAAAAATCACGCTAGACAGTGTGTTTCTAGAAACAAAATATTGACCTGGGTCATTTTAGATTAATGACCTATTTTGACTTCTAAGGCGTTTATGGAAGATGTATAATGCGGTTTCTGCCATCAATAAATTCGAAATGAGCACCAGAAACTATATCATACAGCAAGCCCTGGAGTAATAAAACAGGCTGGCTTTGACCTTGGTCTTACCTGTATGCCTGACCTTAGGTCAACAAAATTTGTTCATGCAATATTTGTGTTGCCTAAGAAAGCATCTCAGAGATGTATGGCTGCGTCTAACACTCCACTGTTGCATCAGATTGAACGATTCCCTAGACTTCGCTGAAACCATGGCCTGACTTTGGCCCGCCATAGGCTAGCGACCTTACAGAGTACATCTAAATTGTGTTGCGCTAAACGATCCGCTATTCAATTTTCTACAGCTATGCGCAACGCATGGCGCGACTGCGCCGCGCTGTTCGGAAACCATTCTGGAAAACCCTTCGGGGAGCGAGTCAAGTTGACCCCGCACCCGAGCGCGTGGTAAGGTCAATAAACTGCAGAAATCAGGCGTTTAACGACCGCATGGCTTAGTGGACTCTTTCCAAACCGAAAGAACCCAGAGTCTTTTCTATAATGTTTTATCTGCGTCCTACAAGCATTAAGGACATCGCGAAGGTAGATTGTAGATCGATATGTTTAATCGAAATTTGAGGGTGAAAATTTTGATTGTAGATCGAGTGGTCAACACTGTGTGTTTACATCGCCAAGCCATGTTTGTGTGGGATCGCTGCAGTCTCCATAGTCTGCGGAGCGTTACCATGGTGGTTAACTTTTCATCATGGCCCACCGGTGAACGAAAATGATAACGGTTCTGAAATAATTACCACTTAACACTGAGATCGGTTAATAATAAAAGTTATGTGACATAATTTGGAGCATACGTACTCGCAGATCTTAGTAAAAAACCTCAACACCAGGCGTTGCAGTCTCCGTAGGCCGCGTGGCGACGGTTCAAGAGCTTGCAAATAGCTAGCAAATTTTTGTCGCTTTTGTCGCTTACTGAGTCGAGGCCAACGGGTGGAAGAAAATGGCGACGATTCTGAAAAAAAGTCCTTTTGAATGCTTCAGAACATCAAATCTTACATCTACAAGGCAGTGTGGGCGCGTATTTCACGAGTGCGATTTTCGAGCTGATGATAAGAACATATTCGCGCTTATAGCACCGCGAAGTGGTCCTGGAATCTGGTGGTGGAGCTGGAAGAGTAAAGGTAGATTTTCTATTTTTCGTGTTCCTGTTACTATCAGCCTGTCCAGAAGACCGGTGAATACGGGCACGCGCCGTCCGGTGGCACTTGCAGTGGCCGACTCCGTTCGGTTTTACGGAAGCTGCAACCCAGACCATCGCTGTCCTTGCTCTCGAGGTTGCGGGCGGGCATGTTCAAACCTTTTGATGCACTTTTCACTAGTTCATTCTGAAAAATGAACGTTCTTAGGCAAACGTGGGATGACCTTGCTCGTGTTTAAAAAAAATCATTTCGACCTACTCTATTTAGCAATGAGACCTCCACTCTACTCAACAATAATGAGGCCCCTTATTTCCTTCTGGGCAAGTGGCCCCTTAAGTAGAACACCAAGGGCACCTTACCGGTACCGGTCAAAAGCTGGATGGCCACTCCGTCCCATCGCGAAGCGTCTTCTGGATGTCATTCTGGCGACACGGGGCGGGATCTCCTAGTCGATCCGGAAGCCATTGGAAGGATATGTCATATCACATTGTTCCCCTCCCTGACACGGGAGGCCTTCTGACCCGCGCAGTTGGCCCCGGATCAGCACAGGAACCTTCATTGACGCAATAACATCCCTGATCGCCAAAGGTGGCCCAAGAATTGTCACACAGGCTCCAGTTCCGCGCTTTTCTGTTTTCTTCAGAAATATTGAGGAATCCCTGAACATAGATTGTAGATGAAATGGGGTCGTAAGCTTTTATTAACGTGGCTAATCCATGTTCGTCTTAAGATGGTCAAGATTCAGTCAGAATTGATAACTGACAAAAAACTGTGTAATTTGGTTTCGAACATACGTGCTCGCAAATCGTAGCAACAACAGCCTGAACACCCGGCGTTGCAGTCTCCATAGGCCGCGTGGCGTCGGCCTGCTATGGCACTAGATGATGGCCAATAAGCAAACGAAAAAGATGACGCATCTTGAAAAAGATGGCTGCTGAACTAGTTAATTCAGCATGTATATGTAAATGTGGTGCAAAAGAAAGCTTAAAACAACATTAATCTGAAAAGTGGTGGGGGGGGGGGGACCAGTTAACATGAAAACCACCTTGAAAAGTGTGTGTGGGGGGGGGGGGGGCATGCCCCCCCCCCCCCTGTTCCTACGCCCAAGACACGATGTTATAAAACATGAGCGACTTGTAATACAACCAGCACCTGCACGTCATGGCCAGTTGGCCAGTTTAGGTAAGTCCTCTGATGAAAGAGATTGCTTTGCCCTTGAAGTCATTTAAGTTTTTGCAGTGGCGCGTGGCAGGAGGGAGGCGATTCCACGCCGCTACGGCTCGGTAGGGAAATGTCCTTTTCACACACTGTTAAAGAGGGTGTTTTACAGTGCTCGTCTGAGCCCAGTTCATCTGTAGCTCTGGTGTGCCGCTGAGATACTGCAGATCGGCGCCTTGTCAGATTACGGATAGCCCGTTCCCCATCAGACACGTACATGGCACGGCGCAAACATATGCAGTCGCGGTGGGTGACAGTGTCGTCGAAATTACGCCGATTTAGCTGTTTTTGGGGTTCCGTGACGTGATTTCGTTTGCGTTTGCCGGCAACAATTTTGACCGCGAAGTTCATAGCCTTAGCCAGGCACTGGCGCTGAACGGCTGCTGTCGGGGCCCATGCAGGTAAACAATATCTGATGTGTTGGAAGAGCAGTGACTGAACTAAGGACTTTGTTGTGGAGTTGGGAAGCACATGCCTGAGCTTGTTGATAGCTATGAGGGAGCCAAAACAGCGCTGAGTAGTTTTGACCGTTGATGCTGCCAGTTGAGGTTTTTTGTCGATGAGCACCCTAATGTTTTGATATACTCTGAAGGAGACAGCTAGAAGTTATCAAGATTCACACTCAGCCCGGCGGCTTTGCGAGTGTTGGTGGATGTGTTAGCAACAATGAATTCAGTTTTCGATGGGTTGATCTTCATGCCATTGTGACGAAACCATACTGAGACTGCAGTCAGATCGGGCTCAACACGAACGCAGCTGTGCGAGACCACAGACAGATGGTGATAATTCACGCATGAGCTGCACGTCGTCTGCATATGACACCAGTTTACACGTAGCTGACGCATAACACTGGATGTAGTTGGTAAAGAGGAGGAACATCAGCGGTCCCACTATGCTGCCCTGAACCACGCCATACGCGG